AAATTAACAAGTAGCCCCACATCGGAATGAAACCTCCCTTAACTAAACTGAATAGTCCAAAAATGCAAAGTCATTTTCCAATGCCATTGAGATGCTTCTTTCTGCCCCAATCACGGACCTACCCAGATACATAGAAAGAAACATCATCATCATAAATAAAAAATAATCTTAATAAAATTGAAGTAGCATTAAATGAAATTGAAGACAGTGACTGAGTTAGGTTTTGTCTATTTGTTATTTATAATCAAATATTTAAATTTATTCGCACTTTTAATAAAATAATATAAAATTGTTAAGAGTGATTTCATAAACCTAACCACAATGCGTTCTGTGTTTCCCGCCTGCAGAGGCTGAAAGATACCTATTTTGTCGCTTTCTTACCGCATTCAATGCTTCCAATTAGAGAGTTTAATAATTTTATATTATAAATCATTTTATTCATTTTAAATCATGGATTATATATGTATATATATTTATATTTAGGTTGTTAATTTACATACTAAATATATTTTATATCTTTTATTTATTAAGAAATAAGCTGAATAAAAGTCAAATAATTCTGATTTAAAAAATATTATGTTTTAAACAAGATACAAATACAAAGATAAGATTTACTAGTTAAGTCTCAATGTCATAAAGTGTATCTGATATTTTTTTTTTAAGTTATATTTACCAATGAACCGAATTTCAATTGAACGGATGAAATTAATGGATTCTACCCTACATAACATTGTTATTTACCTCACTAGTAATATATATAATTTGACTATTCATTGTAAGTGCATAATTTGAAATGAAATTTTGGTTAATATTTTTTATAACATCAACGAATTATTTTTGGGGATTAAAATTACTTTTAACCTATAATATGAAAATATTGGATTATAAATTTTATTTTCTTACATGATATTCAACTTTTTATTCTTATTTTTAATCCAAAATATTAAGAAATTAGGTCATAATAATTATTTATTTATATACTATTTAACTTAGTTATGAATCTTACTTCTTTATATTTTGTTTAACTTTCTATTCTTATCTCCAACAAAAACACCTTAAAATATTGAGTTATGAGAGTTATTTTTTATACTAAAACCTAAAAATATTGAATTATAAAAGTTAGTTTTTTATATATTATTAAACTTTTTCTCATAGCTCTAATATCACTCGTTAGGTCTTTCAAATAGATTCATTAAGGATAAACAACATAGACATAAACTCAGTTCACCTAATGAATTAATATCACCTTCAACTAAAAATCTTAAGATATTGAATTATGCAAGTCAACTTTCTTATTTTTACTTTATGAGATTTAGACTCATATTTAAATTTTTCAACAATAATTCTTTATTTTTTATAAAATAAGTAGTTTTATTCATATAAACTCTCATTTTTATAAAAAGTGATGAAACATTAATATTTACACTATAATTATAGTACAACCTTTGACACTTTTTATCCATATAAGAACACATAAAAGGTTTTTTCATAAGAGTTAAAAAAAAAAGGTTTAACGTAATAATTATATAAGACAACAAAATAATGTTATATGATATTTTGTGCTTAATCACACTGTTTCAAATTAGTTTAACAACAAATTAAATAAGTGAGTCACTTAAATATATTGATAAAAATTTAGTTCTTAAATTTGCATATGAGAAATATTTTATCAAAAGAGGTATAACAACCTCAATAATTTATTCTTTTTTAAACAACATGCTTCAATGGACATGAGGATTGATTAACATAGTATGGTTTTATTACATTTTGAAAATACAAGTAATACACATAAAGCACACACGTTGGAATTCTTAATTACATGAGAAGGGTTAGAAAAACCTGAAATTGAACCATTTAGAAAATACTTTTATGTTTCTCTATCAAAATACTTATATTTTGTATTTTTCAGGTATATTACATTCATATTATTTCACAACACAGACAATATCCAACATCAAGAATATTTAAAATAATATTTTGTTTCCTCTTTAACTTAAAATATCTCAATAAATTATGAAGGAAATTGTAATCTTGGAGGGAACTCAAAAAATTTAAAATTTAAAAGAAAAAAAGTTTTTAGAAAATAAAATTATTTAGTCCTCTGTTTTCTGATTAAATGTATTTATTTTCATAAATTTCCACATCTTTACACTCCCTAGCGAATTCAAAGAATATTAAAAATACTATATAAATTAAAAAATAAAACTTACAAATATAATTAAACTAAACTTAAAAAAAATCACTATTTATTATATAATCGAACAAAATAAAACTATGAAGACTAAACTTATTTTATTTTATTCAGTTTAAAATAAGTTTTAAAGTATTTTAATTTGTGACTTAAAATATAATGAAATTGATTATAAATTTAACTCAGAAATAGTCACTAAATTTTTATATTCCAAGATTATTTTTATTTTATTTAATAAAAACATATTCTTAGAAATAGTAAATAATTTAAAATAATTAACCCAATCTAAGTTATACAATCTATAATGAATTGATTTAAATTTGATGTATGTTTTTCAAATTAAAAAAAAATATGAATTTTCCTCAACAGTTTCACAGTTTTTATTATACACTCATAAAATTATTTATCTTTTCTTAAAATTTAAAATACAATTTATAAACTATACATTGTACTTATGTTCTGATATTGCAAAACATTGTTACACTCTCGTTGAATGATAAATTGCAATACATAATAAATTTATTAATTTTTAATATTTATATAAGAGTTAGACTAATTATAATATATCAACATTAAATCCATTTTTTAATCAACTAAATTAATATATATTTTTTATTTTATTTTATTTCTGTACTAATTTGTTTAAACCTTTATTTCTTTCAATGTATACTATAAAATGGTTAATGATTTATTAAAATAAAATTATAATTTAATTAATTTATTTTACATCAAAGTATAAATTTTATGTAACTTATATACTTACAAACATGATGTATTATAAATTTACTGTTAGTTATATAAAAATAAATATTTATTATCTAAAATAAACTTTAAAATAAATAACTAAACCGCCATGTCCCGTTAGTCCCCATCGCTCCTACAAATGGCGCTTTTTTATTGGTGGAATCCAAATCTTACATTTAATTTTACTTCATATCCGAATCAGTTCCTCCACAGTCAACCGCTTCAACCCACTCTCTCCTCCTCCAAATCCTTCTGCTTTCAGCTTTCCCTCTCACCGGCCCTTCCAGTTCCCCGTTGTCCCACTCCACGATTTCATTTGGACTTCATTTGGCGTGCATTTCACTATCATTTCATTTAATTTCATTTCACTGTCAGTCCGTCCTCCCCCACTACCCTCCTTTTTTAAATTCGCCCTAAATTTCTCCGCATTTCAATTTCATTTTCAATTTCAATTTCAATTTCGAAGACGTTACCCTCTCTCTCCATGAACACTCTTCCCATGTTTCCTCGGTTCTACAGATGGAGATGGAAGCTCTGAGCTTCGCTTAATCTTGTTTTTTCTCCAAATAAGTTCTTATTATTCGTCATTTTCCGTCTCGTTTGACGAAAAAACTTTTCCTCTTCCCGTTATTTTTTCTTTCATCGGGTTTTGGAATTCGATCTTCACCTCATCCTCTCAGAAATAGGTGATTTCTCGCCCTCTTAATCAAATACAAATGCTTCCTGGATGTCAAACTTTAAGTTGATTGTTTAGGTAGATGAAACATGTGATTTTTTTTACTTTGTTATTAGATTTAAACTTTCCGTTCATTTTTTGTGAATGAAAATAGTATAGGTTTTTTTTTTTATGATAATATTTGTTGAGATTGCTGCAGAAGTAAGTTTTTATTTAGATTTTGTTTTTTGTTCTTTGGTATTATATATATATATATATATATATATATATATATATATATATATATATATATATATATATATATATATATATATATATATATATATATATATATATATATATTAGTTTGTGCGCTTATTATGGTGCGGTAGATTCGTGATGTCTGTAAGATCCTTTTGGTTGGACTCTGTTGGGAGTAAGAATAGTTTTCATCTGTTTTGTTTTTCTTCCTTTGTGTAATCTTGCAATGCTTTTAAGACAAGGTTTTAACTATTTTTTGGACATGTTTTTAACTTTATTCATTCTGTTCGATATGATTCTGATTCTGGATTTTATTCAGATCTGTTCCATTGCTTAAATTTATTGGAATATTCGCTTGGTTTTTTTAATTAGTTTTACTTTATGGGTTAAGTATTTTGCTCTGCTGCTCCTGTTTTTTGAGCTTCAACATTTTATTTATGATTAAGTTCATCTACTCCAGAGGTATATTATTATTATTATTATTATTATTATTATTATTATTATTATTATTGTTATTATTATTATTATTTTAGGGTTAAGGGAACTGGTCGCTAATATTATTACTATTATTATTATTATTATTATTATTAAGTTGACCGGCATTTTTAAGCATGTTTTTTCAATCTCTAGCATGTATGGGCTTGTGTTGTTTTTGTGGAATTATTCCTTGTTTTCCTTGATTGTAGTTTCATCGACACTTAATACTGTAAATGTTGTGATAAGTTGTGTTTTTTTAATTTTTTTTTTTTGTTTATTCTATTTAGATTTTGTTTCATTACATTCTAGGGTAATTGGTGTTCTTTTCTAGGCTTTTATAGACTAGTACGTAAGGCGTTTGTGGGATATTCGTAGAGGTTTTTCGAGTTTAAATTTGTAATTTGTTCTGTCATAGATTACGAGGGACCCAAGCTAGAAATAAGTATCATAAATGTAATACCCATAGGTTATAGGAATCTATTTGAATATTTGAGGACTTGTTGCAACTGCTTTATTGCTTGCAGATAAATTTTTGCAGGTGTTTAATTTTTTTAATTGATGATCTATCTGTCTGTTTTTATTTTCTTCTCTTGTTGATTTAACTACTTTTTTCAATTATATCTTTCGTCACTTATTAAATTCAATGATTATTATCATCCAGCTAACCAAAGCATGTGCGGTGGTCCGGAGAAATCAAAATCTCCTTCAACTCCATCATCATCTGCTGTAGAAGGTTCAACTAACGCCAAAGACATGAAAAATATAACTGTACCTGCTGAAGATTCTTTTTCCTGCTTACTTGAGCTTGCTTCTAACAATGATTTTGAAGATTTCAAGCTAGCTTTAGATAGTGATGTTTCTCTAATAAATGAAGTTGGCCTCTGGTATGTCCGCCAGATTGGATCCAAACAAATTGTTCTGGAGCAGCGAACTCCTTTAATGGTCGCTGCCATGTATGGGAGTATAGATGTTCTAAAACTTATACTCTCGTGTCCGGAGGCTGATGTCAATTTCTCCTGTGGGACAGATAAAAGCACTGCTCTTCATTGTGCTGCATCAGGTGGTTCTGTTAATGCAGTTGATGTTGTGAAATTGCTCTTATCGTCTGGTGCTGACATCAGTTGTGTGGATTCTAAGGGAAATCGTCCTGTTGATGTCATTGTTGTTCCTCCTAAGCTTGAAGGTTTGAAGGCAAGTCTTGAAGATCTGCTTTCAGATAGTGCGTGTGATGGGTCTCTTGGTGAATGTTTTATTCCAGTATCAGCTAATTCATCATGTTCTGATTCAGCCGCTCATTTATTATCACCTGAAAATGGGTTGCCATCCTCTCCTATGGCGTCCAAGGGTACAGATATAGCTGTCAATTCCGCTTCCGAGAAGAAAGAATATCCAATTGATCCATCACTTCCTGATATAAAGAACAGTATTTATGCAACAGATGAGTTTCGCATGTTTTCATTCAAGGTGCGACCTTGTTCCCGTGCATACTCTCATGATTGGACTGAATGTCCTTTTGTTCATCCAGGAGAGAATGCTCGTAGACGAGACCCAAGAAAGTTCCATTACAGTTGTGTGCCATGCCCAGAGTTTAGAAAGGGGGCTTGTAGACGTGGGGACATGTGTGAATATGCTCATGGAGTATTTGAGTGCTGGCTGCATCCGGCCCAATATCGGACAAGGCTGTGCAAAGATGGCACTAGTTGCAATAGAAGAGTATGTTTTTTTGCCCACACAGCAGAAGAGCTGCGTCCATTGTACGTGTCAACTGGATCTGCCGTTCCTTCACCCCGTTCATCTGCTTCTACTCCTAATGTCATGGACATGGCTGCTGCAATGAGCCTGTTTCCTGGTTCGCCATCATCACTTTCTGCTATGTCACCATCTCCCTTTGCTCAACCAATGTCTCCGTCTACAAGTGGCATTTCTCACTCATCTGCTACTTGGCCACAGCCAAATGTTCCAGCTCTTCATTTACCAGGAAGCAATATTCAAACTAGTCGATTAAGATCTTCTCTTAATGCTCGTGACATGCCACCTGAAGACTTGGATGTGTTGCAAGATTTTGATGGTCAGCAACACCTTTTAAATGACATGAGCTGTTTCTCTCAGCCCCGTCCTGGTGCCATTTCAGTTAATCGATCTGGTCGGTCTAAGACACTAACTCCATCAAATCTTGATGATCTATTTTCTGCTGAAATTTCTTCATCTCCCAGGTATTCTGACCCAGCAGCGGGTTGTGTATTTTCCCCAACACACAAATCTGCTGTTTTGAATCAGTTTCAACAACTTCAAAGTTCGTTATCACCAATAAATACAAGTGTCTCATCTCCTAGGAATATTGAGCATCCTCTTTTACAGGCTTCATTTGGTGTTTCTTCTCCTGGAAGGATGTCACCAAGAAGTTTGGAACCAATCTCTCCAATGAGTGCCCGATTAACGACATTTGCACAGTGGGACAAACAGCAGCAGCAGCAGCTGCGGAGCCTTAGTTCAAGGGATCTTGGTGCCCACAATCCTGTCTCAGTTGTTGGGTCCTCAGTTAACTCCTGGTCTAATTGGGGTTCTCCTCACGGGAATGGAAAGGTAGATTGGTCGGTAAATGGAAATGAGCTAGGTCGATTGCAAAGGTCATCCTCATTTGAGCTTGGAATCAATGGGGAAGAGCCTGATCTATCCTGGGTTCAAACCCTTGTGAAGGAATCTCCATCCGAGGTAAAAGAGAAGTTGGCAGGTTCTTTGCCTGTTGCATCTGCAGATGGACAGAATTCCAATTCTCAAGTTGAGTCTATTGATCACTCTGTTCTAGGAGCATGGCTTGAGCAAATGCAACTGGATCAGCTTGTAGTCTAATCAAATTGACCCATTCCATCTTGTGATAGGTATTTAATTTCACAACGTACATATTCTTTTTGTCAATTTTTTTGGGTGGAGCAAGAAGAGGGGAATGTAATGATACTGAAGCAAGGGGGATGGGTGCAGATTTCGCGAATGGTAATCTATTTTTTAAACATTATTTTGTCATTTTTTATTTTACTAAAGGAGAGCTTTAGGGGGGGGGGAGAAGAAAACCTCTCTCTGGGACCGATGAATACCCTAGTAAGAGAAAATATTCTTCCAAAAATATCTAGTTTCTGGACTCTCTTTCCTTCACTTTATTCTGAGCCAAGCTGGATGGTTTATGTAAACAAAACCAGTAGCTTCATTGGTATTGAAGTTTATTTTCTTGGTAGGAATATGTTAGTATATTGCAGTTGCATGTATAGAAGGTCAGAGTGTGTTTCTTCTTAGAGGTGATCATTGAATATTTATTGTTGCTTCCATATTAAGGCCTCTTCCCATGGTTGAATAAGCCATGTATGTTGTATCATTTATGTTCAAATTCAATGTAATGAGTATTAGCTAGTTTCAATGAAAATTATATTGAAAAAAAATTCTAATGAATGTCGTATTGATTATTTGTATTATCAAAGTTCAGCCGGAATCACATATAAATTGAAAAATTAATAAAAAAATGTTTTGTTGTATGTGTTGGTTGGCTCAGCTACCAAGTTATATTAACATCTCTAATATAAAATTTCCATATATTTGTTTTAACGATGATCTTTTATGAGAATTACTTTTTATAATTTTCTATTTACATTTGATTGTTTTTCTTAAATTTTAAAACCTAATTGTGGATATTCCATAATTAATTTTAACCTTTAATAATGTTCAGTAGCATATTCAAATGGGAATTTTGAAAAATATTGAACTCTTAAATTTAAAGTCATGGTTAAAATTTCTGTAATGAAAGATGTTCTACCAGTGAAGGGTGTGTTTGACACGTATTTTATGTAATTGTACTCCTACGAAGAGCTTGTTTTGGTACAGTGATAATTCCTTCTGGTTATTTCTGTCAAATAAAATTAGATAACGATTCTATTTCTTGTGGTGAATATGTTTTCGGTTGAAAATCTAATGCAGTCTTTATTTGAAACCAGCTTGTATATATATATATATATATATATATATATATATTATACATAGCGTGTTTAGAATTTTATTTATATAAATCTTTGATTAAACACGTGTTTAATGTTATTTTTAATGAATATCTGGAGCCATATTGTAAAATGGTGAAGCCATGTTTGGGATTTTGGCAATCTGTGTTGTCTACAGAAACTCCAATGTGAAAGAATGGAGGGTGGTCCATTTTGTTTAGAACCATAACATTAAATATGAGGAGGGGTCCTAGTCGATGGGACAGTGGCCGGTGCAGTGCCATAAAAGCAGGTGGGTAGATTATTGTTGGAGCAAACATGAATGATGGATGAGTTTTCCATGTTTGAGATTTGGGCGCTAAGTGTGGTACACGTGTCTTGATTTTCAGGATATGGGACAGTTGCAGGTTGACGTGAAGATGGCATTGATTATTGCGTTGATGGGGACCAAGGTTAGCTTGGATGATATATTTTGAACAAACACTTGAAAAGACAGGGATAGATAGATGAATACAAGGGCAAATTCAGATGTGACTACTTTTTATCAACTCGGTACATACTGTTATATTTTCTTGTACCATATTTCGCTTTGTGGGGGTCCGAACCAAGTATGTGGGTGTCTATTTCAAACTTCAAAATCTGATGATATGACTTTTCTTGCCTTGTTCACAGGAAGAGGAAGAGAGGAAAACGCAGGAGCATGTACTGTGCATCGTTGATTTTCTCTGGACGAGGATCAGGAGGAGGCAATGAATGGAAAGCGGACCCACCCACATTAGGTATTGGGATAAGTTGTCATGTGCATTATGCATTTTAATGCTTGTACACTCTGCTTTATTTCAATTTTATATTATTGTTTCAAATCACATGCTTCTGCGGACCCAGAAAAATAATGAATCACCAACAGTTCTTAAATCTATATAATATGAATCTGTTGGCATCATATGCTTTTTCACCGGACTTCACTAAGAAATTTTCATATGTATGTATTGCCTTGTTAGATGGCTGTTATAAAATTTAACAAAGTTGTTGCATATGAAAGTTTCCTTATGATGATTGTGAATTATTTGACTTCTAGAAAATACTCCAAAGGAATGTCCAAAAACCTGGTCCTTTGAGCTATTATAACATTAAATTTTGGTCTGGAACTTGGTCATACATAAAGAAGATTTTTCGCCCCTTTGAAGAAAGTATTTTGTGGAAATTAAGATTAGGTTCTTTTTCACCAATTCAGTGTGTTGTCAACTGAATAATGTTTGAATGTACATGTTATTATGGTATAATTATGTATTTTCAGTACCTAAAATTTGGATAACTTTTTAATCCATCAAATTAAAAAAAAAATTCACTCAAATTCAATAAAATATAATTTCAGAAAAATAAATATAAGTAGATATAGTATTATTTATTCAAAAGATATTGACTTCATTTTTTTTAAAATATTAAATTTATATAATTTTATCTTGAGCACTTTCAGAAATTATTTTATAAGTTAAAATTAATTTTGTAAGAATTTAAAATAAAAATTGAAGAGGTTAATAGAAATAAATTTTGTAAATATTAGTTAATATTTAATTTAATTTTAATTTTGAAAAATAATTATATATTTTTTTTTACTTTTTCTCGTGTCTATAAAGATTTATTTTTAAACGAAGTCCAAGGTCAATTTTGGAAAACCCATGTCTAAGTTTTCATTATATATATATATATATATATATATATATATATATATATATAAACAATCAGGCACGTGACATGTTTGTAGACGTATATGGGAAGTTTTGAAGGATGATTTTTGTTCAATTTCGATGCTAGCCATGAAAATACGAAAATAATATTCTCTCTCTTCTTTTCTTTTTTTTCACTTTCCATCCTGGAGTACAAATCAAACAGTAGTGGATAGGAGAGAAACCTAGGTATGATAAAAAAGATATTATTTATTGAGGTCTGACTCGTATTTTTTTCAGACGATGCACATGACAAAACTGTTACTTAGCTTCGAAGAAATTGGGAAAAACTATCACTTGTTGCAGTTCTGCTTCATTGATTTACTTTTTTTTTTGTTTGCTTTCCTGAATGGTAGTGTGGAATAAGGATACTGATACTTCATTTTATTTTGTTCAAAAAGTTGTTGTTGTGACGATGTATATTGAAGATATTATTTCCCACAATTTAGAGACTGTAGGCAGCCATAGATTTAGGTAAAGGAGTTTAAAGTCATACTAAGTCTCCATTGTGCTTGAGAAATCATTTACTAATGATTTCGAATCATACAATTTCTGTAACAGGTATAATTTTTTCACATGCCTTGTGGTTGGATACACTATGAAAGGAAATAGAAATAAAGAGAAAGCAACGAGTATTGTGATGAAAATAAAGAAGAAATAGAGGTAAAAATATGGAAATTGGAGTGAAAAAAAAAAAAAAAAGTAAACCTGTTTCCAATATTACTTTACAGGCCAGAACCCACTAAAAAAATGTGCATGTCAAATCTGAGAAAGATCTTGAAAAAAGCTCCCCCATCAAAACATTACAATCATTTGGAAACTCTATTAAGCAAAGCATCAATGGGGAGTGAAAAAGACCCACTGGACATTCTTTTAGATCTTCCTACTTTCTTCGTTACATGGCATTCACATACAATACATATTATGAGGTAAGAGGATTTTTTATTCACTCGTTTTAATATATATGACACAGATTATAAAACTAGAATTATGTTGAATGAAGCAAAAATTGTTGATTTAAATGATTATAATCTTAATAGCAGACCCTAATGAACAACATCACTGGAAGTTGTTTGCTTTTATCAGTGTATGTTCAATTCAGCCCTCATGCAAACAATGATGACCAATCGTGAATCTTTATTTTGATTGATCCATTCCATTTTCTTTCGCAACATAAATAAAATTGAAAAGTAAATAAAGCAATAGAAAAGATAAAGGAAAAAAAAAAGTGAAATCTTTGAAATCAACAAATGATTCACCTCGCTGGATTCGACTTTCGCAGCAAGTTAGCTTTAGGAATTGATTATTCCTTGACATGATTTTCCACTAAAACAAATTAATTACTTATTTATTTTTTATATTTAGAAAAATATATTTTAATCTGTATGTTTATAAAATATCATTTTCTTCCTTTACACGTGGATTTACAGCACGACTTAAAAATGTATAAAGTCAAACTAGATACCTTTAAATATAAAAACATTTTGAATTTATGAACCAATTTTCATTCTCATTTATTTCTTATATATTTTTTTTGTTTTTTTCCTTTCTCTTCCATTCCTTCGATTTTACTAAAGTTACATATAAGAGTGATTATCTGTTTGAAATATAACAAACAGAAAAATAGTTTATTTGTCTCATACATGTATACATGCACTCACAGTAGGAAGGATAGGGAATATTACAATGAGGAGAGAATACATTAGATAGAGACCATAGGTCAAAAATAAAAAAAAGGAAAAAACAATACTTTAAATATGCAACTTGTAAATTGCCAATATTGAAAAAAAGTGATTCTAAACTGTGAAAAGTGATTCTAAACGGTGAAAAGTGATAGAAAACAACATGTTTTGTTCCGAATAATTTGTTTTGTTAGATTCCATCATGAAGACATTGAACGTCCTCTCAGAAAACGCCACGGTCCTGTTCCTGTTCCCATCCTGCATATATAATTTTAAAGTATAATGTGTTTTTTTTTTCCTTAAAAAGAACTTATGCAGAAACTGGTCCAAAAAAGAAGAATGTTTACCTCCATACACCCGCAAACATGCGAAGACTCATATAGATGGTTAGTGCAATCCATAGCCCAACGAAACCTTTGCTCTTTGAGAGAACGAACAGTGAAGCAACACTTGCTAATGACACCGTTACCTGAACAGATTATGAGCACAAAAGCTTGCTAAATAAATTTGGATACAGATAACAAAAACTTGGAAACACATCATGGTATGTGAACTTGCCAAGGAGTATGCAGAATATGCAAAATCAGAAGCCCCATAGTTCACACCATCAAAGACAAAGGCCAATGAATTGATTGGTTGTGTGGCAGCAACAAACTGGTGAGTAAAATGGAATTCATCAGATAAAAGTCACACACAAAACATACTTAAATTCTCTGGGGTGGTTAAAGGGTCTAGTTCAATTGATTGAATTGTGTGTGAAATGTTGTAAACTTCATCGTTCTTAGTTGGGAAGGGATATATATAGAAATATGTTTGTACCGGGAGGCCTAGTCTGATTAAGTGCACAACAAGAACACTTTTAGAGAAGATTCCAGCTCCAAAGTATAAACCAACTCCAACTGCAAGAGAGAGTCCAACTCCTAAAACAAAACTCATCTGTAGTGTTCGTGTTGCAGCAGCAATCACCTTTTCATAATCTTTCTCAGCAAAGGAACAAGCTAGAATTGCCTGTGAGATAGGGAAACTGATTAGTAATACTCATTTGATTTTTACTATTCATTTTTTCTTTTGCACAAACAAGTTTTGAACAAGTTATAAGACTTTTTTGTTTTTTTTTTCCTCTATGTATAATGTGAATTGTAAGACCTTATCTGTTTCAAAGAAAAACATCAACTATTATTTTTTTCTGGTTCTAAAAGTATTACTACTACACCTAAAACTATTTAGGTTATATACTGAACATTTTGATTGGTTATTCAACTGATGTTGTAGTAAGTTGGGAATTTTAGTACCAATTAACAAATGGATATAAAGTGTTTATGTACCTGTACTGCAACAGCTAAACCATCAGCAAGAAGGGAAGATGTAAGCCACACCTGCAAGCAGGTTTGGAAAGCAGCCATAGGAATTGGGCCAAACCTTGCTGCCAATGAGGCTGCCAAGGTTTGGCAGAATGTCACAGCTACTACTCTTGCCAACAAAAGACCTCCTATTGAAATTGAAAATAAACTCTAACATGAGTTTGGTCACTAATACTTCAGTCCACTCTAGATGATCATTTTTATCAGTTCTTTAAATTTCTGATAGAGGAAAGTGAGATTTCAGTTATGGTACAGAAATCAAAACCAACATGCTGTGTTCAATGCCCTCCACCACATACCATTTTTAAGAAACCTGAAAATCTGCAAGTCCTTAATACTTGGAGGTACGAGATCCACTTTTCTAGTTAATATCAACAAGAGGGCCAATGCCATCACGTACCTAATTACAAAGGGTCATGAATTTTGTAAGTTCATGTTTTGCCAAATGAAAATGTTTGAACATTACTTGGATAAAACAAACTAAGACTTACTGAGAGAGCACATGTGAAATGGCTGCACCTTTGAGGCCCAATTTGCAGTAGAAGATAAGAATTGGATCCAAGGCGACATTCAATGCATACCCCGAAACTGAATAAAATCATATACACAGATGAATCAAGTTAATGAAAGTTTTGACAAGATTAGAAAAAATATCTCCCATTAACTATTGAGTTCCTTGTGCATTCATTTGAAACCAATTGACATTTTTACACAAAGTTCCTTTCCTTTAAATTTGACTTGCATGCTTAACTATATGCGTTTTGAACTTTTGATGCTTTCACTTGGTTTCTATTTAGGCTTCGTTTTCAAGACAATGGATTATTTAAACCTACCGATAACATATAAAGGAGTTGTAGTGTCCTTGAATCCTCGAAAGATTCCTTGCATGGCCAAGGAGAGAAGCACTGCAGGAGCACCCAAAGATCTCAATCTCAAGTATTTAACAGCAGGATTTAGCATAGGAGAATCCTACACAAAGAAGAAATAGCCCCAATTTAGTAAAACACTAAAAAAATGCACTCTAGAAAATCAAGTAATTAAGATTTGTAACATATAGTTCATGATAATAGAGATAGATACATACAGGTTTCAGACCCATTGCAGCTAATAGAGGTTTGGCTGCAAATATAAGGGTTGCAGCTTGAAGGAGACCAAGGATTGTGCCAAAAAGTAGTGCCGTTGATGCAGAAGCTACGTGTCGCTTCTTCCTTCCAGCTTTTGACATGCTCTTGTTACTACTAGTAGTAACACAGGTAGATTTGCCTATACTTGAATTGCAATCTGATAAGGAAATTAGTCATTACTAGACTAAAATGTGAGAACACAAACTTTCAATGCATTCATTTCTCTCTACTCAATATCCACTGTTTGATATTTCATACATAATGTTTATCATAATGAATTTCCTACTCATTAGTTTGTGCTTATGCATTGGAAGCAGCTTCATACTCATTGGTTAGTGCAATATGTCCATTGATAGCGGTTATAAGAGCAATCAATGTAGAGGGGTATTTTCTACATCCGACTAAGAAACTCCAATTTTTTACAACGTCTGTGGATACATTGCTCTCAAAATCAATACATAAACCCTTCTAGAATCGATATAAATGTGTCATGTGTAGTAGTGTATACACAAAAATAGAAAGGCAAAGCCAGAAAGGGACAGAAAGTACCATCCATTTCCACATTCTCAGGGGCACAACCTTTTGCCACTAGCTCGCTTGTGCCACCTCTTGCAGAAGAAGATTTTGTTGGAGTCTCATTGTTTTCTTTGGATGCACCTTTTTCTATGTCTTGAATCGAATGATCCTCGGGCCTTACTTCCTTGGACTTGGCCTTAATGTTTTCAGGCAACTGCTTTGCTTCATTGATCTTTTCAATGGTATTTTCCTCAGCCACAAAGGAAGTTGTGATGCTGACCAAAGGGAAGATGGTAATCCTCGAAGCTTGGTTGAACAAAGCAATGGACACTCCTGCGGCAGCAAGCTCCACGGGCCCTAAACACATGAAGAATGAAAAGTTAGTGTAAAATGTAAGAGCATTAGAATGATTCTTAACTAGTAATTTTTACTTACTAATTATTTATAAGTGACACTCATTTAGTAGGAATGAATTCCTGTATGAGAAACAAAGAACTTAAGCTTTAGTCCCTGTACATTTGTCCGTGCAATTACTATTGTTTCTTTGAATTTTGGTATAAATTGCCCCAACACACCTTTGTAGGAACTCAAGTTGAAGTTCTTTTCATATGGGGACAGACTCCTAAATGAGTGTTATCTGTAGGGACCAAATGATATATATATAAAATCTTCCTACCATGTCTACTATAACTTGCAACTACTACTATTAGTGTGTAGGAAAAAATTGCCAAGCCAAAGCACAAAACCTGATTAATGAATTTTACATGTGTGTCTTTTTGTGCAAACAGGATATAATGACAGGGAAATGTACCCAAGTGGCCTATGAATGCTGTGTCTATGAGAGAAGCAATAGGATCAGCAGCAACAGCCAGTGCAGATGGGAATGCAATCCCAAGTATCTCCTTAGCAATGGAATCCATCTTGAAAACATGTCTACATCCACATTTATTGAACAAAGTATTATTAGTATTTTGCTATCACAAATTTCTTTCTAAAATGATGTTTCTCCTCCAAGAAACAGGGGTGATGAGTTGATAAGGGTACCTTGCATCTTTGAAGAAAACTGAGACAGGGAAGTTTCTCTTGTTCTTGGGTGCATTACTCGAGCTACCATTTTGGTCCATGATATCCTAAATCGTAAAACAAGAACTCAATCAACAAGTGGATGGTGCAGAGGGTTGTATTTCCCTCAAATCTCACCAATCTGCCTAGTTTTGAGTTTGAGGTGATTCAATGTTTTGATCCATCAAAAGAGAAAGAATAAAAGTTTGATATTGATCGCCATGCAGAAACTCAAGCTTGTCTCTCACAGCTTAAATCAACTATACATTGTGCTACATTTTCTAAAGATCACTTAAGGAAAAGTGACCCATTTATGGTAATATTGCAGATATGCGAAAACCACATAAATTAATGTCAATTTAAGTGTTGCAGAAATCATGGAGTGCTGAAAAAGTAACTGACAAAAGTAGCATAATTATGGTCATTGTCACTATTATAGTTTGAACCTTCCTCAGATGCGTTTTAATAATGTCTTTCTATCATAGAGTAACCCACCCTTCGTAATTTGAATTCATTAAAAGAATTGATTTTTTTTTTTATAATTTAATTACTTGTTTAGCTATATATAATATATAATTTTCACCTTTTGATCTCTATATTTAGAAATATCTCTTTTAATATCTACATATATCATTTTAATTTATTTTAGTTTTTATAAGTGTCATTCTTTTTTATTTTTTTAATCTTACTATCAAAATTCATAGAAAATAAATGAATATACAAACAAAAAAAGTGATCTTTAAATATAGACATTAAAAATAAAGTTTATTCAATTCAACCATCTGGTCAAATAAATAATTTAACCATTTATGTTTTATCATGATTCTTGAAATCTATAGAAAGTTGTTTAGAATTGACAACAGAAAACATGCCAATTTTTCATTAAAAAAAAAGAAAAAAAGAAGCTAAAACACACTTAGAAATAAGACACAAATGTTGGAATCTTATACCAAAATTTTTATCCTTTTAATAACCATTATTGATCAACTTTGAAAGATACAATCTCCTTTGTTCATTTATAAAGAAAAATAATAATAATTTTCCATGTATTAAGGAAATCAATTAATTATATGTATACACCAATTTCTATTAATCTTCTAATATTTTCTTAAAAATATTTTTCTTGTAAAAACAAAAGTATAGATGGTAATTGTGTAATCAAAGGTCATCTATTGATTCAAGTTATGATATTTAAAAAATATATTAAATGAAATAAAAGTAGTTGAAAATTGTTTATATATGTCATTGAAAAAAATGTTTTTTTTTTTTCTCTTTATTGTAAATTAGGCCGAAAGAAATACTTCCTTCCCATCCACAAGAAAAAAAAGCTCATATTAAACATCATATATTGATTAAAAATTTAGAATATTTCAGAAAAAATAGCATTATATTAAATAAAATGAGGTAAAATTGACTTATATTTGAGAAAAAAATATTTATAAATAAGAATATACGAGTATTATAATTATAAAAAATATATTTATTTTTTGAACCAAACTTACCTTACTTTTCAAATATTGCCTCAGTTAAGAAACAAAATAAAGAGTTTTTACTAATAATAGTGATCTTTATATCTAATTTTGTTTCAAAATAATTTAAAAAACAATCAATCTCAAAAAATTTAAAATTAATTTTATAAAACTATTTTTTCTTAAATTAAATTTGAAAAAATCATCCAAATACAAGTTAATTATATAAAATGTGAGTAAATCATGGAAGTCAATATTCTACCCATTAGAGTACATATTCATTAATAATAAAACAAATCAGTAATAATCGAAAATGACAGATAGTTTAAATTGTAATATTTTGTGCAAAAATAGTTTAATTATTTTGAAGATTAATTTTGATGACAATTCAAAATTAATTTTGAAGATTCATTCTTTTTGTTATTTAAGTGGTCCATGCATAAGTTTCAACACAAACAATAATTTTGATGTTCACATCATCAATATCATGAAAACTATTTTTTCATATATTAACTATTGGTTTTCATATATTTTCTTTATATTTTTCTAATACATACATAAATCCCTATTAATTATAGAAAATAAATTCTTCATTCTCCATCTTTCATCACGAGGTTTCTAAGAAGCACATAGAAAAATAATTAGGGTTAATTAATCACACTTTACAAAAAATTAAGATAAGATGGGATTGATCTTACAACTTAATAAAAAACAAGATTGAATTATAATTAATTAATTAATTAATTAATTAATTAATTAATTAGCCTCACACATAAGCACCAAAATACATGCACGCATGAGAGACAAAAATATATTACTAATACCTCACTATGTTGGCCACTATTTCTCCACTACGTGCAATTAAAATAAGTTCTTAGATAGTGCCAAATTTCTTCGTCGTAAAGCACAAAAAAATAGGAACAAAATTATTTACTTTTAACCAAGATTAATTATGTTTTAAGATGAAACATTTGAAATTGTTGAATATCATACATTTTTTTAATGAAAGATTACGTTATAATCATATATATAATTATAGTAACATAAAAAATGAATGAATGGCATTTTGTGTTAAGTTTAGAAATTTTACATTAAAATGATAGAAAATAACATTTCTATAGAAGTGAAAAGTTTATTAATAAAAATGATCAACAAGATATGATTTTTTTTTCAAGCAATAAAAAGTTAAAAATGGATCATTGAATGAGAAAAAAAAAACATAGTTGAAGATGAGTGTTATAGAGATGAAAGCCGTACATTGGTCCAAAAAAATGGAACATGATTTAAAGTTGTCATTTACTTATTGGTGGGTCCCCAACTTACTCCGTACAAGACCAATGAGTTTGGATATTGTCCATCAATGGCAACTGACACCCAAACTTTCCACTTTTATAAACCCAATTTCACATATTAATTAAATTAAATTACCATTTCTTAAAAATATGTGCTTAGTTTTCCATTTAAGTAATTTAGATATTTTCTAACATGTACTGCTTCTGGTCAATTGCTTTAGGTATGATAATAAAAAACTTCTACTTTTACTATCTCTTCTACAATAATCTTAAAAATTACAAACATGTTTATGTGTATGAAAAAATGGTAAAAAAAAAAAAAAAAAGCATTTTTAGAAGTGACCAATTACATGGCATGGAATCTAGGTTAGGTGGCATGCATGTTGATTCACTTTAGATAAGAGGTGTGACTGGTTTAGCCATCAAGTGTGGGGTGATGTTGAATTCACAAAAAGACATCATAAAAAAATATACATTGTTTTGGTAGTGGTGTGGTTTGGTAAAGAGCTTCAACATATCAAAATAAGGAATCGATTAAATGGTGTGAAAAGAGAAAAAGCATGCATCTTTATTTCATATGATTCTTTACTCTTTACCATTTCCACTCATCTTCTTAACTAAAAGAAGAAGAAGAAAAATGAAGAACTTAACAAAGGAATCTAGTGATGTATGAGCATCAAAGATTACAAGAACTTGGCTCTTTTGAGAATCAACATGCATATTCAAGAAGAGTAAGAAATGAAATGAATTGCATGCAAATCCAAGCAAAGAGTGAAAGGAGTTTCCTTCCAAGCAAGGAAGTTAATAACATACCTCAAATACTCCACCACAAGTTTTTTTCTTCAACTTTCAACCAACTCTCTCTCTCAATGCTTCTTCACTCAAACACTAAGATTAATCACACACTTCTTATATGACAAACTCAACCTACACCACTCCCCTTTTTATAAGTACCCTTTGCCCCACTATTCTCCTAAGTATTCAAAATACATATAATGTATATATACACATTAACAAAATGTATTGCACATGTAGATGAGAGAGATAAGGGTTAGTGTTTGTGTTTTTTTTTTTAGTTCAACTTGTTAGTTTTTAAGAATATATTATGATTTTGTAGAGAAAAATGAAATAGAAGAGTTGAAATGTAATTTTGATGGAGAAAAAGATAGTGTGACACGTGTGGAGAAGAAGAGTTTAGAGGTGTTGTGTTGGTTTGGTAATTAAGAGGTTGGAAGGTGGATATATAAGTCATGGAGGAGGAGGAGGAAGGTGTAAGGTGAAGAGTATAAAATATTGTTCTACTTTATGTTTATGCTACAAATTATGGTGGTTTTGATTGGGCATGAAAGAGAGAGTAAGATTGTGGGCTACGTGGGAATCGCAATAAGCTCCAATATCCCAATCTTGGAAATTAAAATGTACTGCCAAAATCTGACCTAATTTTTTCAGGTTTGAATATGCATATCATCATTATTTTCGTTGGGACTCACTCTACGTGCGGGAATGTTTGTCTTTTTCTGCCCATTTCTATTTTATTATCTTTAAACTCTTTCTCTCCTCTCCCTCGCTATAAAACTAATATATATTATAAAAATCAAGGATAGATAATATATTTTTATGTCTTGGGATATTTTATATCCATTAAAAATATAATAATATTATAATATACATGAAAAAAAGGTTAAGCAAGTTTCATAATATTGAATTAAATACATCACGCTTATTATAAATTTGATATTATTATAATACATCCGTTGAGGTAAGTTTTATAGGGTTTTTAACTTTTTATACTATATAGAAATTATGAAATATTTAATGTAATTTTATTTGATTTCGTATATAAGAATTGTATTCTTTATATATTATAATATTATCATATTTTTTATTAATATAAGATTTTATCATATATTTATAAAAAAAATTCATCGTAATATTATTTTATAAAAAATATATTTTTCTTATTATACACTTTTTTCCCCTTATTATTAGTCATTCATTCATTAAATTTAAATATAATTTATAAATAGTTTCTTCCTCTTCTCTACACACTTAGATACATTGGGAAAAACTACCATACAATTTAAGCAACCTCCAAATTTAAATATATATATATATATATATATATATATATATATATATTTTCTTTTTATATTATAATATTATTATATCTTTTATTAATATGAGATTTTATCATATTTTATTACTTTAGAAAAATATATTTTTCTTATTATACATTTTTATTATTATTATTAATTATTCATTTATTAAATTTAAATATAATTTATAACTAATTTCTTCCTC